TTTCTTATTCCGTTGAAACATTTGCAGCCAGTTGACCTTGTAAAGAAACATGCTTTTCAACACATCCTGTACTTTACCAGACACCCCCTTCCCAAATTTGTTTTTAGGCATGTAGCAGGGAGGAATGACACCCCCCCCACCTCTAAAACTGCTTACTCTTGCAAAAACTTCCTGCCTTTCCTTGTCTCCAGGCAAGCTTGTGTAACTGTCTTTGTTCTCTGTTGCTGGGGTAGAACTTCTGCGAATAGATTGTGCCCTCAAGGCTTGTACCAATGAGCTGAGAGGAAGGGGGTTAAGGAGGAAGAGTTGTGGTTAGGGGCTATATAATCTTTCTTTGCTGAGGACTCCCTTGTACTCTTCCACCAGAGTCATTTTAGGTGGACGGAGGGTGCCCTTTCTTGAGAAAGCTAATAAAGAAATCTTTCTCTTTGCTACATCTGAGTCTCCAGAATTTATTGGTAAGGGTCTCTGTACCCCACACAAGCCTGTTAATCATTTCTTATAGCACAATAGTATTCCATTACATTCATATACCACAACTTGCTCAGCCATTCCCCAATTGATGGGCATCCTCTCAATTTCCAATTCTTTGCCACCACAAAAAGAGCTGCTATGAATATTTTTGTGCATGTGGGTCCTTTTCCTATTTGTATGATCTCTTTGGGATAGAGCCCTAGAAGTGGTATTGCTGGGTTAAAGGGTATGCACATTTTTATAGCCCTTTGGGCATAGTTCCAAATTGCTCTCCAAAATGGTTGGATCATTTCACAACTCCACCAGCAATGCATTAGTGTTCCAATTTTCCCACATCTTCTCCAACATTCATCATTTTCCTGTTTTGTCATGTTGGTCAATCTGATAGGTGTGATGTGGTACCTCAGAGTTGTTTTGATTTGCATTTCTCTAATCAGTAGTGATTTAGAGCATTTTTTCATGTGACTATAGATGGCTTTATCAATTGCTCTTGATATTATTGTATTGTTAGTATGTTTTATATTAAAATATTTTTCCATGTAGACATTCAGTGCTCTAGTATTCTCATTTTATTTAGGTCTGTTTTGTATATTGCAGTACATGGATAAGCCATGACAGTGGAACTATATCAAAGTCTTTGAGATAATTAACAGATGATGTATAAATGTTACAGTGCTTATTTTGATCATACTGTTGTACTGACACATAATAAACATATTCATGTTTTTAATCCATTTAATTTCATGTGTACTTGTGGTTAATCCACTTAGTGGCCATCACATTCTGTACCATAGCATATTCAGTGGATGGGGGTATACTGATGTTTTTGATTTGTTCTGATGTAACTTGCCTCCTTGTGTTACTAGAATGAGGAGAAGCACCAGTTGCTCCACTCTCCTCTGTGTCAAGCTGATTATCATTATGGTTTGAAGTGGGGCCATCCAGTAACCCTGTGTCACCTATGATATAGATGGTGAGTAGTTTTTGAGGGTAGTGTTGTTGTTCTTCTTTTTCTTGTGGTTATTATAGGCATTATGGCATAGTAGAAATAGCACCAGACTCAGAACTCAGAAGACTTGAACATGAATCCTGCTTATTCCACTTATTAGCTATGTAACCACTTCAATTTCCATTTCTGTAAAATGAGAGGGTTTGAATAAGAGAACCTCTAAGGGAGGTTTCTTTACAATTTACCATTTATAAAGCACTTTCTTATTCAGTTCTGAATCCTAAAATTGAGACATGGTCAATGTTATTATCCCTATTTTACAAGTCAATGCCCTAGCAACTCTCTAAGAATAACTGATAAGTTGCAGAGAACATGTCAGATCTGTATTGATGGAGGAATTCCTCATTGGGAGTTCATCTATGAAATCACAGTTTTGGTAAAAAACAAAACAAAAACAAAAAACAACCATGTAGATACAGATGTAGTTATAGATGTGGAAATAGAAAGTAAGGATTAAATAGATTAAGTGACTTATTCATGGGCTCATAGCTAGTAAATGTCAGAAGTGGAATTCAAACGCAGAACTTCCTGATACCAAGTCCATTATGCTATCCAAATGAAGTAGGGAGGAGTTCCGCTTCTGGGAGCCAAGATGGCAGAGTAAGAAGTAAGATGCTTTCACCCTTCTTATTAACCTTTTCTGAAAGCCCAGAAAATATTGCCCCAAGAAAAACCCTGGAACAGCTGAACCAGCAGAAAGATGGGATGCAGCAGTCCAGTAGCCCAGGTAGCTTGAGGGATTAACAGGAAAGGCCCCTCTTGCCCTGGAGGAAGGGGAGCAGTACAGAATGGGAGGCATCCCAGCAAGCTAGCAGAAAGCCCCACCTCAGCATACCAGGGGAAGATCCTGAACCCCAGGTGGTGGAACAGGCAAACACCAACACCAAGACCCCCGCGTGCCTCAATAAAGGCAGGGGAATCACTGGAAACCAGTTCAAAAACCACCACGTGCCTCCGCTTTCTACAGCAATCAGGTCTCCCAGTGCCTCAACAAAATTTTGGGAAACACTCCAAGGGTTTCCCCCAGGGAGAGAAACATCCCACAGCAGCGAAACATCCATCTGAAAGGAGCTGAAGAAAGTGAAAGGAAGGAAAGGCCTAGGTGAGCAAGCAACCTCCAGGGGCCAGACTACCCAATCCTACTCCTACAGTCCCAGTGTTGCTGATTCCAGCCCAACACCAGGTAAGCTGCCAGAACCCTACAGCCTCCAACTGCCAGCATCGGTGGCCCCAGCACACAAAGCTGGTAACCAGGCCCTGGGCTCCCAATACAAGAAGCTTGGTCAGTGCCCCCTGCTCCCCAGCAGGAGAACTCAATCTTTTTAAAAGCCAGGAAATAAGCAAACACCATGAGCAAAAAGAAATGTACTATAGATTCTTATTATGGGAATAGAAGATCAAGGCAGAAATTCTAAAGAGGACAACATTGTCAACAAACTCACATCTGGAACCTCTAAAGGGAATATGAACTGGTCTGAAGCCCAAAAAGCCTTCTTGGAAGAGCTTAAGAAGGATTTTAAAAGTCAGATAAGAGAGGTAGAAGAAAAATTGGGAAAAGAAATGAGAGGTATGCGAGAGAGAGTCAGTAGCTTGGAAAAGGAAGGACAAAAATTAACTGTAGAAAACAAATCTTTAAAAAAATACAATTGGCCAACTGGAAAAAAAGTACACTTAAGAAAACAAGTCCTTAAAAAATATAATTGGCCAAATGGGGAAGGAGGTACAAAATCTAATAGAAGAAAACGATTTGTTAAAAATTAGAATAGGCCAAGTGGAAGCTAATGACTCTGTGAGAGAGCAAGAATCAGTCAAACAGAAACAAAAGAATGAACAAATAGATGAAAATGTAAAATACCCCATTGGTAAAACGACTGACTTGGAAAATAAATTCAGGAGAGACAATTTAAAAATTATTGGTCTAACTGAAAACCACGATGAAAAAAAGAGCCTGGACAGCATCTTTAAGGAAATCATCAAGGAAAACTGCCCTGAGGTCCTAGAACCAGAGGGTAAAATAGCCATAGAAAGAATCCACTGATCACCTCCTGAAAGAGATCCCAAAATTGAAAACAATAAGGAATATAGTAGCCAAATTCCAAAATTACCAGGTCACAGAGAAAATACTGTAAGCAGCCAGAAAGAAACAATTTAAATATCATGGAACCACAGTCAGGATTACACAGGACCTTGCAGCTTCTACATTAAAAGATTGTAGGGTGTGGAATACAATATTCTGTAACCAAAGGAGCTTGGACTACAACCCAGGATCAATTACCCAGCGAAAATGAGCTTGATCTTTCAGGGGAGGAGATGGACATGCAACGAAATAGGGGACTTCCAAACCTTCCTGATAAAAAGACCAGAGATCAACAGAAAATTTGATCTTCAAATACAAGACTCAAGAGAGACATAAAAAGGTAAACGGGTCAGAAAAAAAACAACATATTATTAATAAAGGCAAACTGTTTACATCCCTACAAGGGAAGATGACACTTGTAACTCTTGAGAATTGTACTGTTACTACACCACTTTAAAGGAGTATACAGAGAGGGAGTAAGTATAAGTTGACTTTGATGTAATGATAAAAAAAAATCTAATCAAGTGGGTTAAATGGATCTAAGTAAGTGGATTAATCTGATCTAAGGGAATGTACTGGGAGAAAAGGAAAGGAGGAGGCAGACAAGGGTAAATTATGTTACAGGAAAAGGCATAAAAACACATTACAGTAGAAGGAAAGAAGGGAGCGAGATGAGCATCGTTTGAACCTTACTCTCATCAGATTTTGCTCAAGGAGGAAATAAAGTAATCAATCAGTTAGGTATAGAAATCTAACTTGCCCTATAGGCAGTAGGAGGGAAAAGGGGAAAGAAAAGGGAGGGGGGATAGAAGGGAGGAAAGAAGTAGTAAGGGTAAAGTGGAAGAAAAGGGAGGGGGCTAATAGAAGGGAGGCAGGACTGAGGGAGGCGGTGGTCAAAAGCAAAACACTAGTGAGGAGGGAAAGGGAGAAAGGAGAAAGAAAAGTATAAATGGAAGGGGGGAAATAGGATGGAGAGAAAGACACAGATAGTAATCATAACTGTGAATGTGAATGGGATGAACTCTCATAAAACAGAAGCAGATAGCAGAATGGATTAAAAACCATAATCCTATAATATGTTATTTACAGGAAACATATTTGAAACAGAGGGACACACACAGGGTAAAGGTAAAGGGCTGGAGTAGAATATATTATGCTTCAGCTGAAGTAAAAAAAGCAGGGGTAGCAATCCTAGTCTCAGACAAAGCAAAAGCAAAAATGGATTTATCAAAAGAGATAAGGAAGGAAGCTATATCTTGCTAAAAAGCACCACAGACAATGAAGTAATATCATTACTAAACACATATGCACCAAATGGTATGGCATCCAAGTTCTTAGAGGAGAAGTTCAGGGAGTTACAGGAAGAAACAGACATCAAATGAAGTAGGGAAAGAGAGGGAGGTGGTATTTGAGCATAAAAAACAAGCAAACTGATAGAAGTTAATTTCCAAACATTTTTATAAGCAACATTCACTAACTGTAGAAAACCAACTTATTATTTTAATGCAATCATGAAGTATCCTCTTTGAAGCTTTCATCCCATTTACTTGATTCTAGGGACTTTGGCTGTTTTGACTTGGTAGATATGCCATTTTACATCACCACAGTCAGTCCCTTGCTCTTTTTAAGAGACTCCTAAGTCATCCTTTTCTGGCTTTCCATGGACTCTGAATCGATATAAGCATGTATATTTGGAGTGACCCCAATTGTTCAGAATTTTCAGTTTCACATATGATAAGGATTCACAAACTCCATTCTAAAAATAAAGAAAATATAAATCCAAGTTAATATTTTATAGTTAAGTTCATCTTAAAGAATATGAATGTACTTCATAAGTAATTGTGAATTAAACTTCTTCATTCCTTTCTGACATAAATATTTTTAATCATCATTTCACAGATGGAAAGAATGAACTACAGAGAAGTGAAGAGATGTTCCCCAGCCTACCTTCATTCCCACCCAGATCATACAGGACAAGAAGAAAAGGAATAGAATGCAGGCAGTCAGATTCCTCCATATAATTCTCCTTAATAGACTTCATATACACACATTCAAGTACATACATATGTTCATTTTTGCTTGAATTTTCTAAAAATTGCCTAATGACTATAATGAAACTATGGTGTTTGTTTTATTATCATATTTTTGAAGCCTTATTTACAAGATTTGATATGACTTATGCATTTCTTCATTCACTTCCTATTGTTATAGGCTTTTGTTAGAATTAAATCCAAACAAATCCCTTCCTAGAAAAGAAACATATTTTCATCTAATTATCTTTTCCCAGGTCTCTCATTACCTGGAGCTGAAATGTTTGAACAGTGGTCCCTTTTTTGTTATACACAAACTGACCAAGGAAGATTTCCTCTCCTTTACTTTCATCTTTGAGTCCCTAAAAATGTGAAAGACATGGAAATTAGGAGATTAGGGACTATGTGAAAGACTGCTTCACCCAAATGATCAAACTTCTTTTGTTCAAGTAGCAACAACTCTCTAAACACTTACTGGGTAGACAGTATCAAATTAGGTATATTGGATTCAAATTAAAAGCATTGTAGTTTGCCAGATACCATGTTCTAGGCATTGTGTTAAGTGGTGCAAGGAATTCAAAAATAAATAAGACATATTTTTTACTTTAAGTAGTTTATACTATAGCACAGCCGATAGATAGGTATCAAAATATATATAACAAAATGTGATAATTGCCTAGGAGAAGTGGAGAGAACACTTACACTTGTTCATAGTTCTTGAGACAAGTAAAAAATTGTTAGGACAAAAAGCAACAAGAACATCACTTCTAGCAGTAACAGTGACAGTAGCTATTTTCATTAGGCAGATTGTATTTTTCATATGGATATCTGAAAGTATTTTGCTTGTGGGAAATAGAGAAAAATGGCAAATCACTTTTAGATCTGTGTTAGTATCATGATATAAAAATATTTTATTTCTGACTTAAATCTCAGGTTACCTAATCAATTTTATCACTTACTATACTTTCCAAAATATAAAACATATATTCCTACCCTAGGGCCCTAGGGATCACACAGCACACAAATATATTTTCCTAGTGTACGTCTAATCCCTTGTCAGCTGAATGAAAGTGATAGTGCATCTTATATACCTTCTTTCATGCTTCTTTCTCTACTCAGTACTTGAAGGTAAAGATTAGTTTAGAAGAGAAAAAAAAGCAGGCAGTGTTTTATTGTTATTCCAAAGTTTAATATTTTGTGCCTAATATAATAACACAAGAGGAGGAGTGTATTAGTTGAATTGATCACATTTAATAAGAAACATTTAATTATTGTAATGAAATCATTTTACCATAATAAAGTCATGTGTCCCAAAACTTAGATACATATGATAAAAGCAGGCTTGACACAACACATTTTATAAAATGACAGAATTTTAGAGTTGGAAAGAACCTTAAGTAGCTATCTATTACAACCCACAAATGAAATAGAATTCTGTACTATATAGCCAACAAGTGGTCAGGTCTGGGCTTGAAGATTTCCAATAAGGAAATGGGCTCTCAAGGCAACCCGTTCTATTTCTGGATGGCTTGAAGTTACAAAGTTTTTCCTAACATAAAGCCTAAATTTGCCTCTTTGCAACGTCTATCCATCACTCCTAATTTTGTTTTATGGAACCAGACAGAACAAGTCAAATCCCTCTTCCATGTGGCAGCCTTTCAAATACCTGAATATAGTTATTTTATCCTCCTGTGAGTTGTCTCTTCTCCGGACTAAACATCTTCATTTTATTCAACTGATTCACCATCATGATGACCTTCCTGTAGATGTACCCTAGCTAGATGGTTCGCTATTACAACATTTGTTTACTCATAATTTCCCACCTCTTTGCTTTTACATATGCTACTATGTGTTGGGTGCTCTTCCCTGCCATTATCCCCCATGAATTCCTACCCATATTTTAGAGCTCAATTCAAGTCTTCCTCAATTACTAAAACCTTTTTCCTTTTTGAACTTCAATAAAACACTTTGCTGCTCTAATATATACTTATGTCTTATTTTTGATTATATATCATATATCCTCCTCTAGATGGTAAGCACCAATTGGACGGTGACCTTTCTAGTGTCTAAGTAAGGGCTCTGTGTACTGTATATAATCAATAAATATTTGTTAATTTGAGTTTAATTGAACTGAGAATTCTTTGAAGTAATATGTTTTTCTGTGGCTAAAATATGATTTAATTAGCTAACAGAAATGTTAAAAGTCTGGAAAACTCATTGTTTGAGGGGCTATTTGAATAGAGGAAGCTTTTTCATTGCTGGTGGAATTGTGAATTGGTTCAACTGTCCTGGCAAACAATTTTGAAATATGCAAGAAAAAGTTATCAAATTGTTCATAACCTTTGACCCAGAGAGCTGCTGGAAAGGACTTTACTGGGAACAGAGAAAGACATATATTGCCAAAAATGTCTGTAACAGCAATATTCATGATCATGAAAACCTAAAAGCAAAATGCATGCCTAATTACAAAACTGCTAAATAATAGGGTATATAAGTGTAATAGAATATCATTATATAATAAGGAATGGCAAATGTACATAATTCAAGAAACATGGGTAAACTTGGGTGAAATGATGCCAAATGAAGAATGCAGACCAAAACCACTACAACAGTATAAATAAGGTCACATCATGAGACAACAAAACTATGCTTCAATACAATGGGCAAGGTTGGTATACTACCAAAGTTAAAATGTAAAAAAGTTAACATCTCTTCTTTCTATTGCTAATCATTGATCTAACTTTGTTTAGAGACTGTACAAAAAGGTTTATTTTTGAGTGTTTGTTGGGAGCATACATTGTATAAAACCAAAATGTACAAATACACATTTTAAAATATTGATTTGATTTGCTAAATCAATTTGTATTCAGTGTTTCAGGAACTGTGACAACGATTTCCTGCATAAATTATAGTACCTCTACATAGTCTAGTATTTACAGGCCCAAAGCACATTTCATCATCTTTTTTTTATAATAATTTGAATTTTAAATATAGAAAAGAGCTTACATAAACAGAAAAGTCCTTGGGAGCACTGGCAGTACTTCCTGAGGGAGAAATCTTCTCTGAGATGTGCTCTATGGTAACTGCTGTTGGTGTGATTTTCCTGGCAAGTTTGATTACAGTATGACCCGTAGAACCTGGAAATGCCCAGCACTTCCCAGGATGGACATCAGGCTAAAAAAAAAATAAACTATTATCCTCTTTGACCTCTTTCTAAAACACTAGTTCAGTCAGTAAGTGTTAGTGAGTACCCATTACATGCCCAAGACTAGGATAGGTACTATGAGATATACAAAAGAAATATAAGAGAAGATTCCTGTCATCTGGAGTTTACATTCTAGTGAGGATGATGTAATTAATATAAATTATAATTTAGATAATTAAATAATGAACTGTGCTTTAAATGCTGTAAAAGTTTAGAGAATAGAGAAATCAGAATGTAACAGGAAAGGCTTCATGGAGGGAAGTAGGACATGAAGTAGACCTTGCAAGGTGAATAGTGAAGGGATTAGAGTGAAGTGATGCCATCATGGAGGTGGTCAATTCAGTCTGTATGAGGAAATGCCATGTTTGATATCTAGGGAGGGTTAAAGCACTTCACTCAGATTGTTGTTGACTTCCGCAAGAATTGGATTTAAGGAGGCAGAGCTGGCAAAGCGTCAGCCTCTCTTCTCCAGAGTCATTAAAGTCCAGTGGCAAGACAAAAGTCAAGATGACTGGCAATGGCCTGGGATGCAATGGATGACTTGGCCTTTCTAAATTAAAGTCTTTCCCAGGCCTCAGTTTGTCTGAAGCAATGCCCATTCAATGACTAAGGCTAGGTGAGAATTAAGACAAAAGATGGCCTAATTTACCATCACAAAAACATCAGTTTGGGAGGGGAATTGTTTTCATATCTTGGATACCAAACCCTTATCCCATTTGATTGCTTTAATTCTTAACCCAGTTATATTAATTTTGTTTGTGAGTGGGATAGCAAATCGACTAGGGATGTATAGAACTTTTCTGCCTTATTACAGTGAGGCCCTAGCTGAGATTATATCATGTGAATTTGTGACCCAGTCAATGAAATTTCATAATCTTCTGTTCAGCAGCACATGAATAGGAATGAAGGAGGCGGATGGTAGAAGCAATGCTGGGGCTGGGCAAGGTGTGATCAATGGTAAGTCAAGGAGAGGGCAAGAGATTCAAGAATGAAAAATAGTGTAAATTTGAGTTGGTTCACCAACAAGTGAGTTAGGGAAAAGAAAATATAGCCAATGCAGGGTAATGGCCTAGGATAGAACAGAGGCATAAAGGGTATGGAGATCAGGGAGGATGAAAAACTTTTTGATGGATTAGCATGCAAGCAGACTGGTAAGATAAAAATATTGGTGTGATGAATATAATACCAACTTCAACAGCTTTTCATAGAGACTATAGACAGGATTACTGTATCTTTAAGAGGTACAGGGACCTGGGATTAACAGTTTAACCATCATTTTATGAGAAACCTATAAAGAGAACTGGGAGCTAAATAAACTATTGTTTAAATTGAGCTTGACCCAATGTTATTTTTAATGGAAAGGATTTAATTGATATCCTGAGAAAACTGAATGTTGAGATTGTTTCCAGAAATGAGGATAAATCAGTGGCTGGGGAAGGTTAGAAAAGTGGTGCCTATAGAATGATATGATCTGTAAGATCCTTTCAAGATCTAAACCCAATGATCCCATAAACTGTGAAAAGGTAGGGGGATTATATCAGGCCTCCGGAAAAGGAGTGATTAGAGTATCTCCTCTTGTCCAGCTTTAAGCACGGGGGATTCCATAATGAGGAAATTCAGGAGAATGAGGAATAAGATATATTTAATTTTGGTTCTACCTGAAGAATAATATCAGGTGGCATTTCATAACGTAAGAATCCTATCCCATGCCAATATAGTTTTGCTTTATCATTTTTGTAACTTTCCGAAGTTTCTGCTTCAACAATGGAGGCACCTGAAATTAGAAAACAAGAAGGCAGAAACAAATAAATTAGTATAATTCTAACAATGAGAACGAAAATGTTAACAGAGAAATTAAGTAGTATAGTAGTTTGTTCTCAGAAAATTGCAAATTTTAGTAGAAGGTTTTTCAGCAGCTTTGGTGAAGGGAGTATCCATACCCCAATGAAATCACAGCTCTTTTAAATTACTATGTGAAAAAGTCTTGATCCTATCTAATTTACCTTTTATTGCCCAGAGCCAAGTGATGATCACTCACTCTCCAGTTCTAATGTTTGAAAAATGAGATAATAATTAAAATGGAGTTGTGCATATTAGTAACTGGTTGGCTGATGAAAAATTCTTTGATTAAAGCTGCTAACAAGGGATAGTAACAAATTTCAAGATTCTTAAAATCTTGCAATTCATGAAATAAATGACAAGCTATCTCAAGGTCAGGAAAAAAAAAACACCACCACTAAAAAGCACTGCAAGAATAATTTTTATATCACCTTAACTGTAGATGGTATCTTACATCTTACAAGAAAAACTAAGCAATCTTCTTAAGGTCTGTGATAGGATCAGAGTAGGAAAAGTTTTCTACCCTGCTAAGTTTCAGCTTTTTAAAACCTCATTTTATGCCTTTGCTTTCTAAAATTTAACAAAAGTTCATGTCTTGAGGTCTTAGAGATATGCAACTTTCCTTCTGCAGTATAGATCTATCCCTTTGGCAACTGAATTAAAATAGTCATGCTATGAGCTATGTACCTTCTGTTCTCAGTTTCCAAAAGGAACAGTATAAGGGATCAGTTTCACTGGAGGGTACTTAGATTATTAGCTCATAAGTTTTATATTATGTTGCCATATATATAATTAGCACTCAAACTTCTATGTTGAATTAAAAATGTAATTATTTACCTTCAAATATTGACATTTAACAGAAATAGCACCAAATTTAGTAGCAATAATCTTTATATTGCAGAAGATTCCATCCTTCATTTCTGTTGAATCTCACTCTCATCCAAACTAGTTAAAAGCAGGAAAAATACACAGACACACAGACACTCACACACACACACACACACACACACACACCCCCATAGGTGGGTACAGACATTCATTTTACTCAATAGGGAAATGAGAGAAAAAGGGAAGAAGGGGGAAAAGGTAGAAAAAGGAGAGGGAATTGGGAGAGTTTATTAAAGGAGGGGTTAGTCCTAAAGAAAACAAACTATTAATGATGCACAGAAATATAGCCCTTTTTGAGGTGGTAAAGAATGGAAATCTGAGACAGTTCCTATGAATTGGGGAATGGATGAACAAGGGATGGTCTAATAAATGTGATGGAATATTATTCTACTGAACTCTTATCAGCTTAAAGGCAGGATTATAAAGGACTAATGATGCAACATGCTACCTTCCTCTTGATAGAGATGTGAAGGGTTCAGAATGCAGAAGGAGGCAATTTTTTTTTTGTCAAAGCCAACATGGAAATTTGTTTTGATTGACTATATATATTTACAATAGGTTTTGTTTTTCTTGTGTTCTCAACTGGTGGTGGTGGTAGGAAGCTTGAGGGGCGAATGAGAAGGAGGATCTTGACTAATTTAAAATATATAGGTGTCCACTCTACCTAGTTCTTTCAAAGAGAAAAAAGCTACTAACTACCCTTTCTGTCTTCTACCATATAGTTCATATTCATTCTTATTCCCTCTTCAACTGCCAGGTAGAGAGTCATGTTTTTACTTAATGAGAAGTATGAAGAATAGAAGCACTGAAGTACTATGTACAGATACAGAAACATATACAAGAATGCAGCCAATTGTCTTGTCATGAGTCTTAGTTGCTCAGTATGTAACTCACCTGCAGATTTGAGGGCATAGTCAGCCATCTGAACTTGATCTTCCCTGAACTTTTTAAGGATATAATTCACCAAGGACATTTCCTGTGAGGAAATGAATGATTTATAGTTAACATACAGAGACACTTGTACTGTATCACAATTAAAGTTATCACCCTGATGTGGAAAGGTTCAAAACAATGTTTTGGGTTTAAATGTTTATTAGAATTAAACTTCTTTTACACTTTTGTATTTAGAAAATTTGGTGTTTTACTGTCTTCCAGATTGCTCCCTGTTTAGCATTAATTTTCTGTGACTGAGAATATTATTTTCAATACCATTACTATTGAGATAAGCATTGTGATACAGCTGAAAAAGTGATGAACTTGGAGTCCAAACACCAAGATTTGAATACTGGTTCTGCCCTTACTAAGCTGTGTGACCATGGAACAGTTGCTTCACCTCTCTGGGAATCAGTTTTCTCATTTGTAAAATGAGTAATAAGAACACTTGTTTTACCTACTGTATGGGATTACAATAAGAACTCTGTAAATTTGTAATGTACATGTAAGCTATCATCATATTATTAATACTAATAGTAATCATTTGTTAATGTTAAGTAAGATTACTATGTAATAATATTGTTATTTTTAAAATAACACTTCTGGTTTTAAAATAAAGTTATGTTTGCATCTTCATAACTCCTATATTGTCATACCTTGAATATTTTTAGTTAGCAAAATGAAAGGGGGGTATCTCTGGCATATTAATTCTCTTTGCTGTGATTAGGATAGAAGTTTTATGAACTGTTAATTCTGTTTCTTCATAGAATTACTTTTTTGAAGGAAAATAATAAATGTTGGATGAATGTGGGAAAACTGAGACACTAATGCACTGTTGGTAGAGCTGTGAACTGGTCCAACCGTTCTGGAGAGCAATTTGGAACTATACCCAAAGGGCTATAAAATTGTGCATACTCTTTGATCTAGCAATGCCATGGCTAGGTCTGTATCCCACAGAGAGGAAAAAAAGGAAAAGAACCTATTTGTACAAAAATATTTATAGCAGCTCCTTTTGTAGTGACCAAGAATTGGAAATTGAGGGGATCCCTATAAATAGGGGAATGGCTGAACAAGTTGTGGCATGTGATTGTAATGAAGTATTATTGTGCTATAAAAAATGACAAGCAGGATGATTTCAGAAAAACCTGGAAAGACTTACATGAATTGATACAAAGTGAAGTGAGTAGCACCAGGAGAACATTGTACACAGTAACAGCAATATTGTACAATGAAGACCTATGAATGACAACTATTTTCAGCAACACAATGATCCAAGACAATCCCAAAGGACTCATGATGAAAAATGCTATCTGCCTCTAGAGAAAGAACTGATGTCTGGATACAAACTGAAGCATACTATTTCCCCCTTTCTTTCCTCCTTTCCTTCTCTTTCTTTCCTTCTTTCTTTCTTTCTTATTTGAATCTTCTTGAATAAAATGATTAATATGGAAACGTTTTACATGATTGCTCATGTATAACCTATATCCAATTGCTTAGCATCTCAGAGAGGTGGATGGGAAAGAGGGAGGAATAGATTTTGGAATTCACATACCACAACTTGTTCAAAACTTTTAATAAAATGTTAAAAATTGTTTTTACATGTAATTGCGGAAAAATAAAATATTTTAAAAAACTGATGGGGGGCTTGGGGGAAACACAGGATAATGGTATGAGTAAAAACATCCCCAAAGGTAGACTAAGGTACATTCTCTTCAAACAAGGTAACAGTTTATCATAGGGCCAAATCAATAATAAAGGGGTCAATGGCTTGCCTCAATTTATGCCAAATACCTGAGATGAATATTTAACTAAGGTTAGAACAAAGAACAGAATAAGCGAGGTGATATCATGGGGTTGAGGACAACATGACTGTTATATAGCTAAAGTCAGGGGAACAATATTATTGGTCTGAAGTTGGGAATCTAGGAACTAGCGATAACCCCCACCTTCCCTCCTGTGACTAAGTATTCGTTGTTTGAGTTCATGTTAAAAGAGAGCGGGCCAGACTTCTTTGAATAACAAACTAGATATCTTTGAAGGATAGCTTGATGGTGTAAGACCAGACTCTATGGTCCACCTGCACCCCTCATAACAGATTTCCTTAAGTCAAGAATAGAACAGTGATTAGCAGGAGAACTCAGTTTCCAAACTTAACTCCTGAGCTAAGTTTAGAGACAAAGAACCATGATTTAGCTGGTTACAGAACAAAATCAATTTCAAAATGAAATAAAATATAAAATCAATGCTTGTTTTTCTCAATGGAAAAAGCAGTGTACTGGAAATCAGGGACCTTAGATCACTTTGAAGAAACCTCTGGGTCTCTATTTCCTCATCTGTAAAATCATGTGGGTTGGACCAAAGGCTTTCTGATAACCCTTTCCAGCTCTGAATTTCTGATTCCTGACAAAACCTTGAATTTTTTTTGTAACAAGATGGGATCTAGGAAGAGAAGATAGTGGCCTCTTTCACTTTTATTTTGCTGTCATTGTTTAATTGTTTGTACATGGCATGAAAACAGATATAGACCCTAATGATGAGCCTATACAATGGCTCATTTGTATGAATGGCTAAATTACTGGTTCATTCAATTTTGTGGGTTCCATGGGTGCTAATCTAGAAGCCAAAGAGTCTATCATTCATCTTCCTTGCTCAGTGATTCATCTATTATCTTTTTGATACACTGCATCTAGTATCTCTGGAGGCAGATAGCATTTTTCATCATGAGTCCTTTGGGATTGTCTTGGATCACTGTATTGTTGAGAATAGTTGTCATTCATAGGTCTCCATTGTACAATATTGCTGTTACTGTGTACAGTGTTCTCCTGGTGCTACTCACTTCACTTTGTATCAATTCATATAAGCCTTTTCAGGTTTTTCTGAAATCATCCTGCTTGTCATTTTTTTTATAGCACATTACTGAAATACTACTACTCTTGGGAGGGTATAACACACTAATCTTTGGATAGTCATTAATCATTAGTTATCAATTTGCATTGTTAGCTAAAGTATAAATGAAATGAGCATGTAGAATTGCTGGGTGACTACAGTCCTGGATGAAATGGTGGAAATGGGGTGGGGAAAAGATAAGAAGAGGGAAACTATGGGTTGTAGCTACCCAACATGAAATTATTGGGTATTTTGGAGAAGGAATGAGGCAGAACCACTAAACAAAAGGTTTGTCTAATTCCATATTTTTCCCAGAGCCTCTACTGATTGGAACAAGTATGTCTCTGTATGTCTCTTAGAAATGGACCTAGTAAAAACCTGCCAGCTTTTAATTGTTAGTTCTTTACCTGGATTAAAAACAAAATAAAATTAACCATTTATCTAAGCAAAAAGTCAGCCCCACCAAGTCTTGAGAAGGTAAGAAAAGTAACCTAGTTCTAGGGTTAAAGGCATAGCTTGTGCCTGGGCTAAATTAGGGAGGAAATGGAGACAAAGACAAACCTGATTTGGCATTAACACAATTATTTCATACACAGAATTCATTAAAAATATAAAAAACAGAACCCCAAATGCCTCTAAATCCTTTCTTGCCTCATCGGTGATATCTGAGATTTCCGGCTTTCCAAAGACATCTGCATTAGCATTCAGAACGTAGTTGTCCAGTTTGTCTCTCATATCTTTGAGTAAAGCCTTCAGGATATCTATCTGTTTAGTCAGGGACAGAATTTCTTTGGAATTTTTTTCCAAATAGCGGCTTCCCTTCCTATTAAAAAAATAGGAAATTGGTTAGGAAGGAGAAAATGGCAAAAGACCACCCACATTTTCCTATTTACCTAAATAACTATTGTTGTGCTTTAGTAGGCCATCAATACAGGTACTTAATATGTTTGTACAAACTATATATTATAATATGTCACAATATAAAACTTAACATAGTAGAGAAGTATGTTTCAGAGAGAGGAGAGAATGGAGAACGAACATTTGTCTAGAAAATATAACTTCCATAAGAATCAAGCACTAAGGGCATTATAGTTCTGACAGAGATGCCTACTATTGGCATGACTTTAAGCCTTTTTCCTCTTCATGTTCCTATTTCTAGCAGCATAATATAATGAAAAGAGAATTTAAGATACCTGAATCTAAATCCCAGCTCTGCCACTAATTATCTATGTGACCTAGAAAAGTCACTTAACTTCTCTGGGCCTCGGGTTGTTTTTGTGTGTGTGTGTGTGTGTGTGTGTGTGTGTGTGTGTGTGTGTGTGTGTGTGTGTGTGTTTGTTTTGTATAAAGTGAAGGGATGAACAAAACAAAATTTGATAGATTTTTCTAAAGAACTATATAACTCTTAGATTATAAGTAGAGAGGTAGCAGAGTGTAGTGAGTGAATAGAATGCTAGACTTAGAATCAGAAGAGCTAGGTTCAAATCCTGCCCTTCACATTTGCCTTTGATGGGTCCTTGACCATGCCTTAGACAGGCTTTGTGACCATGAGCAAGCCACTTAGGATCTCTGATTCTCAGACATCTAAGACTAAATTATGAATGCCTTGTAATTTGCATGTAAGTAGAGGAAATTCCTACCCCATGAGATTACAAATTAAAATGATTTTTATGACCTCAAATACATAACATTTTAAGGAACTGACAGTTACAAAAAGGTTGTGATAAATTTCATGGGATCATGGGCTTTAAAGCTAGAAGGGATATTAAGTCATTGAGGCCAACTTTTTTGGTATGTTTTTTCAGAGGAGGAAACTGAGACCTCGTGATTAGGTAATTTCCCAAAGTTCACACAGGTAAAGTACAAGAGTTGGGAGTTGAGCCTAAGCTTCTGACTGCCCTGTGAATCTTTCCACCAGACTAAACAAAATGGTTCCCTTATAAACATTATTATTCTTTTGAGGAAAACAACTTTCAATAAAAACCTGTCTCTCTAAACACTTATAATTCTCTTGTACAAGAGAAAAAAGTGCTGCTTTAAATTTAATGTTAAAATGTGGCTGGACCATGTAATAACTAAGCTTCCTTCTACCTCTGGAATTTCACAATTCTATAGAATCACATTGCATCTCTCTGACAAAAGACTTGGACAATATATAGTGGTGTAAAATAGGAAAGGACAAATTTCCATCCTGCACAGTGACTCAGGCCTGATGTAGAAGCCGTACTGGACTGAATGACAAGCTCCAAGGCCTGGCTTCTCCATCGATTCACAATGTGACCTTAGGCAATACATTAACCGGTGTCTCAGTTTCCCTCTATACAGAATGAGAATAATATTTTCTTTACCTACATTGTAAGGTTATTGGGAAGATGAAATGACAAAACATATATGAAAGAACTTTATCAAGTTTAAAGTGCTATGCAAATGTAGAGCATTTTTATAAGCCATCCTTCAGATATAAAGATGACACAACTACTTATATACCATGGAGTATTAGTTGCTTTTCTAGTATTGATTATAAATTTGCATAAGTCCACTTAATATTCTTTTACACCATAATGCCCTTGCTGCCAGGGTCTGTTTAATCTAAAGCCATTGAACAGAGTATATTGTTCCACAGTGATATCAAAATCATTTGTATAATGCTCTAAGTCAGGGGTGGGGAATCTGTGGCCTCGAGGCTACATGTGGCCTCCCAAGTCCCTGGTTAGGGCCTTTTGACTGAGTCCAAGTTTTACAGAACAAATCCTTTAATTAAGGGGATTTGTTCTGTGAAGTTTGGATTCAGTCAAAGAGCCACACTTGAGGACTAGAGGGCCACATGTGGCCTCGAGGCTGCAGGTTCCCCACCCCTGCTCTAATGAATTGAGGCAGTCAGTCACAGACACATTCCTAGTGTCACAGAATCATGTATCTGGAAGAGAAGGTAACAGAGACTATCTCTACTAATCTAACAATGCTGGGCAATCAGGAAATTGGATGTTATTTTTTTTTCTTAATTAGCATCATCTCAATGTTATGAATGTTCCTCAAAGTATAACCCAATACTTAAGTGAACCGTTTCCCAAAAGCATATGCAAAAATGTCCAAATATTCCATGATTCACAAATCGGCTGTGCTCCAAAAATTTGTTTGTAAGCCTGTTTTTTGGAAAATGGTTAGCATTGGTGGTTAGGTCACCAAAAGTCTATTTAATCCTTAACATATCTAAAATAATTGCATATTTGCAATGAAGAACTATAGAAAACAATACTGTCATAATTTTAGTGACAGAAAAAAACAAAATGGAAAGTAAATTTTTTTTAAAATGTATTGTGAATACTGGTTCTTGAGGAAAGGTAGGTATGATTAGAGAAGGATTAAGAGATAGAAAATTTCATAGAGATTCCAAATCAAACTTTGAGGTATTTTCAAGGACTTTGGAGCTTTGTGGTTCTTTATTACATGTAATTTTACTTTAAAACCTATGACTTTTCTTTCCTTTGTTTAGTTAGTCGGTAACACTTAAGCCCTACTTGTAGACATAACCTGTTTTCAAGGTCTAGGACGAATCTCACCTATAACAGGAGAAACATAGGGAACCTTGGATCCAAAGGTCAGTCTTATTACTTTTGGTCTTGCTCTGACTTCGTATCCTGATTCCAAAAACTGGACTCTTCTCTTGTGCTTTGTGTTCAATTCCATTACCTGAGCCCCATCTTGTTCACTTTATGGAATGTTGCCTTGGTTTCCTGCCCAGTACTTCAGTCCTTACCCCCCCCCCCCACAATTACCTCTAGACCTTTTATGCCTGCCTAAAAACTCCAAACTCTGTGGTTCCTCACTAATTATCAGACTTCCCCGATTCAAACTAGATAGCTGGAGTTCTGCTATCATCTACTGAATGATTCTCCTAAAAATATGCTTCACCTTCCTGCTATAGCATTTACCTGTTGCCCAGTACTACACTTCTCTGACACAGAATACCTGCCTACCTGGACTTCTGTCTGTTCCCATAGCCTGTTCTGAGTATCTAGTTTCTAAGTCACAGACATCTGCTATGTATAAAATATACTTTGGGCTGGGTTTTTTGTGTATCGGAGAAAAGGAGGTTGGGTGTGATGCATGACCTTTTTTAGGCCCATAAGTGAATGAAGAAAGAATAAATAAGGTAGTGAGGTAGGGAAAAGTTGAGAGGTTTTCCTCAGGTAAATTGGCAAGTGTTAGAAGAGAAGAAGGAATGAATAAAAAAGAATGTACATGTATATGTGAGATAGAATGAATCCAAGGTAGAATTATGGATAAGGGTGATGAAGTAGAAGAAAAAGATACACCAAAAAATGTGCAAAATACGCATGTGAAGAGAAGGGAGGTGATGAAGGCACCTTGAGTCAGTCACCCACCCATAGCAGGCACTAGGTGATGCCACTGAACCAGGACAAATTCTTTGCTTCCTGAAAAGAGCAGGGTGGAGGTAGAGGGGTCCCAGGACAGGTGGAATTGAGAAAATGTGCAATGTACCATTTGTATGAACAGAACCATAATAAGTGCTTTTAATTTGAGAAGTGACTATACTAAGATCATGGGGTAGAGTTAAGACAAGATTACTGGACTAGACTCCAGAAGATCTGGGTTTTCTCCCAGGTTCTATCACTGCCTTACTATGTGACTTTGATCAACTCACTCTCTGGGTTTGGATTTCCTCTTCTTTAAAATGAAGGGTTTGAACTAAATAGTCACCAAGGTCCCTTCCAACTAAAAGAGTCTAATTAATTACATTTTTTAAATGTGAAAGAAAAAAAAACATGATCTTGGTTGGCATGGAGGAAAATATTTGGAAGTATATTTTACTATGAAATACATGTGTCCCTTAAATCACCCCAAAGATAGTATTTTTCCAAAGTAGTAAGACATACACAAGAGAATAAACAACAACTCACTTCAGAAGTTCTATTTTGTCTTTAGTCATACGAATTCTGGCCTGTAAGAAAAAAAGCAGGTTGAACAAATCATTCTGAAATCTCCCCATTCAAAGCTAGCTATTTATAAAAACGTGTTTGCAAGAATTCCACATCATTATGTGATAAACCTTTGATATATCTATTGTGTTCCATGTTTCTATGCTACTACAGAGAATATATAACTAATATTGAAAGAGTAATAAAAAGAGGAGATTTGTAAGATTATTTGGTGGAGAGGCTACATAGCAGCCTTATAGGACCTACCAAGATTTTGCTATATGAAATTGTTACTCCACTAAAAGTCAATCATTTATTAAGTTCCTACTATGTAATGGGCACTGTACTAAGTGCCAAGGATACAAAGGCAAAAAATAGTACCTTCTCTAAAGGAGCTCACATTCTTTTTTCTTTTTTTTTTTTTTTACAATTAATTTCTTTATTTTTAGTTTTCAACCTTCATTTCCATAAGATTTTAAGTTTTAAATTTTCTTCCCCTCCCTCTCCTCCCCCCTCCCCAAGATGGCATGCAGTCTGATAGAGGCTCTAATTATACATTCATATTAAACATATTTTCACATTAGTCATGATGTAAAGAAGAATTAGAACTAATGGGAGGAACCACAAGAATGAAGAAACAAAACAAAACAACAAAAAAAAGGAGAGCAAATACTATGCTGCCATCTACACTCAGACTCCATAATTCTTTTTCTAGATGTGTATAACATTTTGCATCGTGAGTCTTGGAGTCGTCTTAGATCCTTGCATTGCTGAGAACAGCTAAGTCTATCAAAGTCAATCATCATACAATGTGCCTGTTACTGTGTACAATGCTGTCCTGGTTCTGCTTATTTCACTCAGCATCAGTTCATATAAGTCTTTCCAGGTTTTTCTGAAGTCTACCTGCTCATCATTTCTTATAGCCCAGTAGTATTCCATTACATTCATATACCACAACTTGTTCAGCAATTCCCCAGCTGATGGGGAGTCTGATTTCACACAGCAAAAACAATAATGACTGTATGATACCATGGCTTAGTTTGACAATTACACAAAAAATAAAACCTGATTTTACTTTGATAAATTTAGTCCAGTAGCCCCAAGAAGACAATGCTAAATGATGAAAAATACTAATCAGAACTTTTACACTGTTATTACATTTAAGAAAATGTACAAGTACAAGAATCATTGACTCAGGGAACTTTCTGCAAGTAAACAATACAAACACTAAGAAAGTTTAGGATTTGACATTGTAAAAAGAAGAAAACAGAACAAAAAATTAAGGAAAGCACATATACCAAGTAAGGCAAAGGTACAAGGATGAAAAATGTCACATTTCATTTTCTTAACTGACCAAAGTATATAAAATAAGACCCAAGTGAATTCATCTAGAATAGCTTTTAAAAATAAAACATATAACCTTCAAACAAGAAGACATCAAAACTATGTGTTAGTTTTAAACATGCAATATAGAAAACAGTTTAATATAAATGTTACCTGGTAATTGTAGAGTTTAGTTCCATATTGTACAGATAGTTCATATAATTGCCTGGCAATGTGAGATAATCCTGTTCTTTTGAGGTTTTCACTATTATGCAGTCCTGTTAGTCATAGAAAAGCAAATTTATTATAACACAGAGGTGAATCATTATCTGGAAACTTGTACAGCTTGATGTCTATTATTAGTAGAAAACTAATAGGACTGATATGTAAGTTGTTTCAAAAGTCACACAATCCCATGTAATTTTATTGGAATAAATTAAACACTGCTTGTAGTTTAAAGTAGATAAGAGATTAAGTAATAAGTTTAGTGCCTAGGTTGGTGGCTTGACCTGCATGTCATTAGTCTGAACCCTTTCCTGAGCCCCTCAGCTTAGATGTGTCCTTCAAAAAGTAGCAGTGTTTACGTCAACATATTTTTAAAATACTAAGGGAAGTTCATATATATCAATCTCATGGCATGCAATTCCTAATCCCAAAACAACAAAAACCAAAAAGTGTGTGTGTGTGTATTTTAGAAGAGCAGAGAAAGGTATGGAGAACAAGTGCTGGTCCAAGTAAACAAGGTCAGATTGGGTTTACAAGTAACTAGCAGTTTGGAAACATATTTGTATGCACCCATAGGACTTTCATGACTTGAAACACCCTCTACAAAGATTTTAGAGAACCTTTTATAATTCAACTAAAACTTACCTATAAAGAGGAAAGTCAGTAAGAACATCATACTTAGGATAATCTTCCATGAGTAGTATTCCCTAAATAACATAAAACCAAGAATACAATGTTGCAATAGTATTGGAAACCCTTTTTAGACATTGTCATGATTTATGCCTCTATCCCCTCAAATCTCCTCTGGCTAGGTTAATCTATTTGCCATATTCTTAAAATGGTTCACCTGCTTCTACACATAACCTTGACCATATACCAGGGCTGACTAATGTCTCAGAGAATAGAATGTAAGAAGCTTTCTATATAAGGTAGAAATTGTCTTAATTTCAAATTTCTGTGACATAGTGATATTGTGCCTGCTTCTGTTCTGTGTGTGTTTGTCTGGTCTCCGAATCCCTACTACGTTTTGATCTCTAGTATCTATGTGCTTCCACTTATCTGACTTCTGATAATTTCAGTTTTATGCTTATTTCCAACTCCTTAGGCACTTGCTTTCCCCTTCAATTCAGGACTGAGTAGTTCTTCTGACTCCTTGGTATCCTCACCATCTTTCTAAGTTCTCTTCCCCAATTCTCCTTATAGAGGAACTGGGAAAATGCGCCTCATTTAAGAAACTGTGACTACTGCTAGACTTCTTGGTGAAAGGTACTAACAGCCTTCTTAATTGTCTTCTGGTCCAGTACTTTTCCCAGCTTCTTCTTACCTTTCCCCCATACTGCCTGACTTATAGAATTGAGCACAACCAAGGAATAACCCAATTCTTTTCTTCATCCTCTCTTTTTGTTAAGGTTCATTTGGAGAGTCTTTCCATATTTTCAAATGTTAGATCTCCCTGACTTTCCTTCCTTGGTTACAGAAGATCTAATCTTCCCCTGCCTCATACTTCATTCTGGGCCACTATAACCTGACACTGTCCCCTCTAATGACTGTAGACATGGACTTCCGTTATGGAAAAATTTGAGTGGTGACATCAGTCACAGCCTTATCCTCTGGAGTCTTTTCTAGTGGAAGGGTATTGCCCAAATCATCAAGGAGGGAATGTTGCTTTCCCCATTGGGCCAATTGCCTCCTAAGCCTCACACAGCCTGTCTTGTGGATTTTCAGCCTCAGTCTGCTCCCTAGAAAGTGTTTCCTCTTCACAAGGTCCTGATTTTCATTCTGAGCCCAGCCACAAAAATATTAGAGGGGGGACCCTAGTTGTTCTAGGAATTTACACTAAAAACTAGACCTATTTCTCCATTTATCCCCTTCTCTACTTTGGAACACACACACACACACACACACACACACACACACACACACACACACACGCCCACTCCTCTGGATGTATCTATCTGAACCATTAGGTTGCCCTGTTAGGGAGAGTTAAAGTTTGTTACTCAAACAATGCTTTATCAAAATTGTGTACTTCCAACTTCAAATGCGTCTCAAATACTGAAAATTGTTTATGGACCAGGACCTTTCCTGCTGCCTGAAGTTGATGAAAACTGCTGCATCCTGTGTCCTAAAAGGATAGATATCTAAATATTTAATAAATCTTGACTTCAAAAGCTGATGTTTCCCTAATCCTGTAGTGACCTTTATGAAAGACACTGACACTATTTTTAAGAGAGTCTTCCAGGGAGACACAAGTGATGTTAGGGGATAGGAGAAGTTTCATCTAAAAGCAGATCTAGGAGCAACTGGGGTTTAGATAGGTAGAAGGACCCAAAATCTGATCCACAGTTTCTTATCATTGCTTATTGTGGTCACATTGTAAGGGGGTGCCTGAGATCAGACCTGATGCCCCCACACAAAGTCTCCTGTGGACCAGGGCTCAGTGCACAGCTAGAACTTGCCAGCTCTGTACTTATCCTGGCACTTACCGACTTCTTCACTTTCCAGTATACATACTTACCGATTCAAACACTCCCTCACTCTCTCCATGTTTGCTTGATCACCACCTCAGCACTCTGTAGAAGTCTCTAAAACAAACAAGCAAAAAATAAATAAATAAAGTAAGCTTAGAGAAATGAGCACATTGAACAGAACCAGGAGAACATTGTACATAGTAACAGCAACATTGTGCAATGACTGACTGATAGACTTACCTCTTCTCAGCAATACAGTGATCTAAGACAACTCCAAAAGACTCATGATGGAAAATGCTATCCACATCCAGAGAAAGAACTATGGAGTCTGAATGCCTGAATGCAGACTGAAGCATATTCTCTTTTTTTTTTTTTTTTTTGGCTTTTTTCTTCCTCGTGATTTTTCCCTTTTGTTCTGATTCTTCTTTCACAACATGACTAATGTGGAAATAGGTTTCATGTGATTGTATACGTATAGCCTATATCAGATTGCATGATATCTTTGGGAAGGGAGAGGGGAAGGAAGGAGAAAAAAATTTGGAACTCAAAATCTTATAAAAGTGAATGTTGAAAACTATCTTTTCATGTTACTGGAAAAAATACTATTAAGTGGAAAAAATTTTCAAAGAAAAAGAAACGAGCACATGAAGAAAAATAAATAGAGATCTAGATAATAAATACTGCTTTCCAAAGGGGAAAGATAGCCATTAGCATCCCCAAGAAGGTACAAATGATGTTGGAAACTACATTATCACTTGAAGACTCTCAGACAAACCCTTTCAATAATATATTGTGAGAATTATAAATATTAAAATAATTTCATAAAGGATTTCAGAATACCATTCTATCCATCTCCTCCAGCAGACTGCCCCCTCAATCAACCCAGTCTTTCACTTGCCTTCAATCTCTCCCAGTCTATGGGTTGCTTCCCTATTGCCCATCCTCAAAAAACTCTCACTTAATCCTTCCAAACTGGTTATCTATCATCCCATATCTCTCTTCCCTTTTGTGGCTAAACTACTTGAGAAAACTGTCTGTTATAGATGCCTCTGATTCCTTTCCTCTCTTTCTCTTCTTAAGTGTCTTCAAAGTGGCTTCCAACCTCATCATTCAACTGAAACTGCTCTCTCCAAAGTTACCAAAGATCCCTTAATTGACAAATCCAGTGGCCTATTCTCAATCTTCGTCCTTCTCGACCTCTATATAACCTTGGCCCTATTGATCATCCTCTTTTCAATACTCTCTTCTAGCTGGGCTTTTGAGACACTACTCTCTCCTGGTTCTCCTCCTCCTTATTTGACTGTGATTCCTCAAGCTTCTTTGTGAGAACTTCATCTAGATTATGTCCTCTAACTATAGGTGTCCATCGGGGTTCTGTGCTGGACCCTCTTTTCTTCTTCCTCTACACTCTTTTCACTTGGTAATCTCAGCGGTTCCCAAGGATTCAATTATGATCTCTTTGCTGATAGTTCTTAAATCTACATTTCCAGCACTAACCTCTTGCCTGGCCTCCAGACTTGTATCTACAGCTGCCTATTAGACATCTCAAACTGGATGTCCTATGTTGTTGTATTGTTCAATCACTTCAGTCATTTCCAACTTTCTGAGACTCTATTTGGGGTTTTCTTGGCAAAGATACTGGAGTGGTTTGTCATTTCCTTCTTCAGCTCATTTTACAATTTACTAGATGTCCTATAGATATCTCAAACTCAATATGCCCAAAATTGTACTCATTATCTTTCCCCCTCTTCCAAACTTCCTTATTACTATCAAAGGTACGACCATCCTTCTAGTCCCCCAGGCATGGAACCTGTTATCCTCAATGACTCACTCTCATCTCCCATATCTAATATATTGCCAAAATCTGAAAATTTCTTAACAATATCTCTCATATAAGCCCCTTTTCTCTCCTCTGATGTTGCCACCATTCTAGTCTATCCTCCATTCAGCCACCAAAGTTATTTTCCTAAAGCTCAGGTCTAACTATGATAACCCTCTACTCAGTATACTCCACTGGCTTCCTATCACCTCCAGGACTAAATTTAAATGTTTCTGTTTTGCATTCAAAGTCCTTCATAACCTAGCTCTGCCCCCCTCCTATTTTTCTAGTCTTCTTACACCTTAGACCCCCACCCCCCACTCCCTCTATGTCCTCTTCAGTCCAGTGGCACTAGATTGCCTGGAATACTTTCTCCTTCTGGCTTCCCTGGTTTCCTTAAAGTCCCAGCTAAAATCCCATGTTTTATTGGAAGCCTTTCCCAATCACCTTTAATTCTAATGCCTTCTGTCAATTATTTCTTTTTTATCCTGTATATAGTTTGTTTGTACATAGTTGCTTGCATGTTGTCTATTCAATTGTGAATTTCTTGAAAGCAGACACTGTCTTTTGTTTTTCTTTGTGTATCCCTAGCACTTAGCACAGAGCCTGGCACATAGCAGGCATTTAACAAATATTTACTGACTCAGCAATGAAAAGAAACAATAAAATTAGGTATACAATAAAGAGTGATAAAGAATCAGAGGAAATGGGTACAAATTCTGCCTGTTACTGTGTAATCTTAGATAAGTTACCATTTCTTTGAATCTTTAAAATGAAGGTGTTAAAGATGATCTCAAAGTTTATCTATCCAACTCAAAATGTTACATTCTCTCCCTCCTTGAACCTTTCACAGAACTTTGTATTTCTCTTATGCATTCACCAGAGGCTAATTATTTATCTAGTTATCTTATGATTCCTTGAGAACAGGGAGCAAAACACATTCATTTTGTGAGCCTAGAACACCTGGAATGGCATATTGCAATTATTAGGTACTAAATAAATATGTGTGAATTGAGAAAGTAGATCTAACAACTAATAAAAAAGATATCTTTGAATATTGGAGAAATATTGATTTCAACTATATGCTAGTAAGTCTCATGACCAAGTAGAAATTGGAAACTACTTAAAAAATAAAAGGTACAAAAATTTATTGCCCAAAATAAAAAACTTAAATATACCAATACTAGTTAACAAAGAATTACCAAACAATGGTCCTCAGCTATGACAAACTCACTAGAACATTATTTCAGAACTTTGAAAGAGTAATTATTTCCTATAGTATATAAACTGTTTTAAAATAGCTAGAATAACATTTCTTATACATAATAAATTATTGTTTTGCACATGCATAACAGGTACTTAATAAATGTTCTTTGAATTAAATTGAAAAGATGATTTACTACCTAGATAAGTTTGAGGTAATTATGGTTTTGTTCTCCAAATCTGAAAAATAACATAGAAAAATACTATAGGCCCAATTCAAATAGCTGCCTACATTAAGCTAAGCATTAATTATAATCAAATGTTATTTATGCCTAAAATTGAAAGTTAGTGTATTATGGGTCCCCACCTCAGCATGGGTTGGGGATGGAGGGTGGAATAAGATAGATGGAGGTATGGTGTATCCCATCCATGACCTCATAGATATGTAAGTACCAGTTATGAATAGGGCGTACATGATAGAATCCTAATAAAGCTGCCCCCAACCCCAACATTCTAACTTCCTTATGGGCTTCACTGAACAACAGGTATGTCCTGATTTGACCACACAATCTGGCTTTAACCACATCACAGGCCCCCAGACTCAATACAGCCCACTGCTTCTAGCTAGCCTCTGCCCTCAGATCCAATTCTCATGTTTAAGCAGTCATGCTTGGACTCAACAACATATCACATCATCCATCTAGCCCAAGACAGGACTATAACACCTAATTATCCACCTTGACCAGACAGGACCACAATAGCTAGCCAATTAGAAAGCAGCACCACCAGGATGTAGATCAGGACGTTGGACCACCGAACCACAGAAGGGGCCCTAAGATAGCTCCTGTGCAGTAATAGTAAAGAACTGGTCTACAGTAAACTTATGATGTAGAGAGGCTTATTATGTCTTTATCATACATAAATCCCACCCCACCCCCATTTGGGTTTTTCTGTATGCATTGTGGGTAATGGCATGCACTGTTCCACTGAGGCTGGGACCCCCCCCCCATTACCTAATCCCTTAACAAACCCTTCATGCCTTTTTAATATTCATAATTTCTCTTGTATAATCAGCATCATTACACTATGAAATCACTTGTCTTGTCTTACTAAGCTGCTGGTTCCTCTTGGAGCTCACCCCATTAGAGGCATCACTCCCAATAAATGCCTTCATTTGGACTAGAGGTGGTCTGAGTCTGAATTCTTTGAGATGACCCCACAACAAACCATGAAACCACAACACATAAGCAACACAATAAAAAGATCTAAACTTTGGGAAATCAGCATCAAATCCTTGGAACTCCATTTTTGGCTTACTGATATCCTATGGACTCCTTTGGCCCTGAATTTTCTGATTGGCAACTAGTTTACCTGCTTGCCTCAGTCCCTTGGATATTGGCACCTGGTAACAAACCAGGCCTGGCCTTGTAGATTAGAACTGTTCTCATCTCAACTTTGGTCTTTCTTCTACCCCCAGGTGAAGATTACCTTTTCCCCTACATAGAGATTTTCTAATTGTTTAAATATATCTATCCTACTCTGGGCAGGATGTAACAGGTATGACATAAGACACATTATCACCATAACTAGGCATAATTCTTTGCCAAGAAAACCCCAAATAGAGTCTCAAAGAGTTGGAAATGACTGAAGTGATTGAACAATACAACAACATAGGACATCCAGTTTGAGATGTCTAATAGGCAGTTGTAGATACAAGTCTGGAGGTCAGGCAAGAGGTTAGTGCTGGAAATGTAGATTTAAGAACTATCAGCAAAGAGATCATAACTGAATCCATGGGAACCGCTGAGATTACCAAGTGAAAAGAGCATAGAGAAAGAAGAAAAGAGGGCCCAGCACAGAACCCTGATGGACACCTATAGTTAGAGGACATAATCTAGATGAAATATGCTTCCACTAGTAGAATGTGCAATTAAATAGCATACTCAAACAATGTGATGCAATAGGATGCTTCTTGCAATGTATATGGAGATTGAGAGTAAGGAGTCAAAAATGATACCCAGTAGCAAACATGACAGTATTATCTTTATACTGAGAAGGTATTTAGCAAAATTTAAAATCCACCTGTAATATAACCTCCACTAATATCCTATTTGAATGTTTTACAGGATAGCAGTAATCTAGGCTTTTCAAAAGTTATACCAACAGAGCACAGAAATTGGCAGGTCCTATCGAGCTGAAGGGCTTTAGCTACAGACCCTTTAAAAAACTGTCTTCCAAAGACTATATTCCAGGTACTGAA